TCCTGCAGACCTCACTGCTCGCGGAACATATGAAAGAATCCTTGGGTTTTCCAGGCAGCCTCTATTATCTGGAAATGCACTTGAAGAGTTTAACTGACACTCCACTTTAAGAAGAAGTTTAGTCTCACTGTTTAGATAACTTCCTTTTTAGAAGATACCTTAGGCCTACACCTCCCTGAGAAAAGGAAAAGGACATGTCCCAGATAAGAATGCACCATGATACCCCAGTGACAAATGGCTGCTCTTCCAGGAAAGAAAACGGGACTCGGTGCAGCAGTCGCATTTTGCAGAAACCCAATTGCTCCCTTCCCACTGATATTTTCTTCTGCATAATCCACATTAACCAGTTAAGAAAACACATTTGCTAAAGAATGATAAAACACATTAAGTACAAATGGTAAAAATGAAGATAGTATTGAAAGGCTTATTGGAGAGACCCTCCAAAGGGTGGGCAACAACTGGCTGGCCTTAGTACACAGGGTGTGCTGCTGGATGCTTCGTGACCTCTGTTAAACCAAGTAGTTGCCTACTGACTCTGTGCTTCACCGAGCTCTTACTGTGATAAATTCCCTGGCTAGAAATTAAATTAGTGCTCCTATTTGCTCTTGCGTGGCTCTGTAATGGGTTTCACCCCTTGCAGAACTTAAATCCGCTAATTAACACAAGTTGATTTCTTCTCAAGTCCAGGGTACAAGATTTTTTTGAATCTTTATCCTGGGCAAAATCTTACTAATACTTCCTAGTATATGTGTAGTAAAAACAACGTGCTTCCACAGCTTGTTGAGTACCGTGCCATATGCCTTAGATACTCTGAGTGCCTTGACAGGAGGCTGAAGATCTGAAGGAATACACTGAAATAGCAAATACCTTTGTAGCAGCCCAATGAACACGATCTGTATTTAGTATGTGTTTTCTTTAGTAAATTCACTAACATTGGATTTACTCTTAGAACTGCTTCCAATTGAACACTCAGCTCCTTGGCTGGCATAAGTGGAATTTACAGAAATTTATATTTCTCGGTATAATGTTAATTAAAATGTACATTCAGAAGCAAAGACAGGCTGGATTTTTTTTTAACAACATTAATGCCGTTTAGGAAAACAGAATTAAAGAGATAATGAAAGCATGATGCTTCTTCCTTTGGACAAAGCATAGATAATAATTCGTAACAAAATGAATTAAAATTATATTAAGCCTTGATTAAAATAAAACGTAAGCAAAGAAAATTATTTCAGTGCTTCCCAAGCAGCAGAAGGCAATAAAAACAAAAGGCATCCAACGCTAGTTGAAAAGGTGGACTTCATGAACAAGATAAAGCTTAAAGTACCAAACCTTGTAGAGTCCGAAAACATCTTTTTTTCATATGCATATTAGTGTATCTGCCTTAACTTGCTTGAAGAGAAACCAATAATATGTGTAATAAGCTTTTTACTCTGCTTTGCTATGGAAACAAGGCATGTGTGATCTCACTCTCTGACTTTCTGTATTTTCTCAGATAATTTTTAAGTTGTTGGATGATTTCACCTCATTAGGAAGGAAAAAAAAATAGAAAAAAGATAGAGTTGGTGTCAAAAGTAATTCCTTTCCTACAGCTTGTAGGAAACAGATAAGGAAAGAAGAAGCACACAACTGCATGGGACTGAGAGGAACACAAACCTCCTCCTTTCATGAGACCAGGGATCTGGGATGGCGTGGGATGGGGATGCACCCCTGTGGAAGCTCCCATCTCCCCAGGCAGCAGCCATGGTGCGGGGCCAGGCTTCACACAGCTACCTGCTAACTCCGACTCAAACCAGTCTCCAAGGGAGCTCTTTCAGTCCATCTTTTGAAATAAAATTGTCGTTTTAAAGACATATCTATAGTAGAATATGCTAGAAAAGGGGACTGACAAATATCTTCGGAGATTACATTAATATTCTGCTTTTCATTCCTATTTGCTGCCTCTCATCTTTTCCTTATTTAGGGCTACAATGCTTGCCGTTGATAGTAGTAGCAACGTTTTTCAAAGCCCTACACAACAATATTGACCTGTTGTTGATCAATGTAGCAGCAGTGGATAATAACTCGGTGCGGTTTCCCCTCCAGCTGCCAGCACTCGCCTGTTCCAGGCTCATTTTACCTGAAGGAACCGACTGCTTCAAAAGCAACCCCACCTGGACTGCGCTAACCAGGAAAAACAAAGCAAAGCCAAGCCCTTCTTAACTGAAGATATAATTCCTGTTTGGACAGGTGACACTAAATAAAATTGCAGCCTTCATATAACTGTGCCTACTTGCCAATTCCCTGGTGAGTTAAAGTTAAAGCACTGTGAGAGTAATGAAGTCTTTATCTTGATTGGAAAATGTTTCATTAGATGAACAAATGAGTCACTTGTCCATAGCTGGGATCTTTTTTCCCCGCTCTCTCTCGCTCTGTTTAACTGTACAGAAACATTAAAATAAACCAGCAGGGAATTCAGCCAGGTTTCATCACCCTCACCTACTCCCTACACACTTAAGATTTCTACACAAACCTCTAAGTTCCAAGTGAGAGAATTAAAGATTTTCTTATTTCTAGCAAAAGTTAGATGCTCTTATTTTAACCTTTGTTCATGTTCATACTTCCAGGCATGAAGTGCTACTAAAGCACGTTACACTTGGCATCTCTTATTACTGAAGCAGAAGGCAATGTAATCTTGTGAGAAAGTGTAATAATGCGGTATTCATTTTGTTTCTGTGGCTGGAAGCCAACTCTATATTAATATTCATTTCCAGTATACAGAGCCACAATATTTCATTTATTTTAAGAATTTACAATTAATTTGGTATGATTCTGTTATCTGCTCCCAATTTCCTTCCCTGTTTCTTTTAGCTGAAAAAGCAGCTCTTGTATGGACTTTAAAAAAGTAAATTCACAACTGAAGCATCAAAAGATTGCTACTGGCTACTAAAAGCAAAAAAATCAGGGACAGAACAAAATGAACTTGAAATATTACAGACGACAATGAAAATTAGCTTTCTGCAAATGGCAAAAACGCAATCTGCAGAAGTTCTCAATTGACTTCTTCCTTTCCAAACTCAGCAGATAAAACACACTTCGCCACATGCTGTTTGCTGCTGTAACCAAACCAAAGAAAGTAAAGTTGTCTGCTTTTCGTCCTGTTTTCAAATGTTTTCAACCACCACACAGCACTAAACTGCAAGCACTCTTGTGAATCTTTGTAAAGTACTCGATAGTGATTTGAAATAATTACAAAATCCTTAGATTTTTTAAAAGGTCTGAAAAAAACCTAAATAGATGTCTCTACTTCCCACACCTTTGGTTTCAGCTAGTGCAACCACTTTTGCAGTGTAAGTGCATTTATAATTAACACAAGGTATTACCAGCCAGTTGTAAGATTTATAATTCCATTCTCCTAATAGGCATTTATCTTCCTTACCTGAGAGAGGCTGAAAAGCATTTTACCTTCCAGCTGTTAGCGCTTACTTTCCTATAACAGTGAGATTCTACCCAAGCCCACAGACTCAACAGACACCAAGAGAACAGCGGCCACCAAATCTGAAATTCCTTCAATGATGAAACCATCCAAGCTCCGCTGTGTGTTGTGGGAAACACCAGTTTTCTAATATATCCTGGCAATATTTAAGAAGATAGAGGGGAGGGAGAGGAAAGTGACTGTCAAAGCTTCGTAAGCTTTTAAAATGAGACTTCCCCATGTTCGGAAACGTTCGTGAAGACTCCTACGGCGCGCTCCCTGCTGTATGTGGATGTTCACACATACGTATGAACAGCCCATTTTAGCAAAGCTTGTCTGTCAGTGCAACACCAGGATCTGAGTCTCAGTCTAGAATAAGCGCTTAGGAAATTACGCAGTGAACAAGAACGCACACAATATTGAATTTTTTAACCTTGGGTTCTGCCATTTTTGGGCACTAGATCCTTTTTGTTTGTAAAGATTTGGGAAAGAAAAGAGGGGGAGGCAAAGCAGCTTTCCTGAAGTATCTCTGAAAAATTAGCCTTAAAATTCCAAGGATTTTGACAGGGTAAGGTACATGTCTGCTTTAAAAGATGGTGAGATCACGCCACAGATGCACCAAGGAAGCCTATATATTACAGGCAGATTACTGAATAATGTAAGAAGGCATGGAGGTGCTACTTTACTGCTAAACCAGGCTTTTCACCTGCAATCTAGTCAATCAAAATGATTACTCCCAGAAATAGCCTCAAGTTCTGTATAAATATTCATAATTAAAAATTCATAAACCATGTTTTCCTGATCATTCATTTGTGTTTCTCTGTCTATTACTAATTAAAAGGGACACAAGAACAGCTGGGAAGGCAGATAAAATAGTGTTTATGAAGAAAAACAGATAAAGAATAGATGATACCACTGTTTTTAAAAAGCTTTTTTCTTCCGCTTCTCTTAAAGATCTTAAAGCTATTTTAAAAGACTGTACTTGATAGCAGAAGTATTTTTCCTTTCTTAAGAAAGCAGAAATATTTTAAAGTAGATGCTATACCTGTATGCACTCTGAGTTTTATTTCCTGAAATTTAACTTGCATAGTTTTAATGTTAATGAAGCATTTGCCATTTTATTTTCAGCCAGCCAAATCAGAAAAGCAAAACAGGTATTTCATTTGCACTGCACAGTTATTTTAAATCACATTTAACTTATCTATACATTGCTTCTGAATGGCTGCACAATGAGAACAGGAAAAAGAAGAATAAACAGGAAGAATCCAAAAGTAAGGCACCTACCAATCAAGGATATTAATACTGTCACTTGGGTTGCCTGAACACTGCCTTTCAGTTTCAACACACCACACTGTGTCAAAACCAAGAAAATACAGTCTTTTTTCATTAAAAAAGCGAATAATTTGAATCATATAAATTGAATCTAGAACATGTTACAGTTACTTTTAATTTGACATCCTAAAACTTCAAGTCCTCTAACAGAAATTAATCGTACAGACCATTCATCTCATCTGCAAACTCCAGTAAAGGATAAACTAAAGCTTACCTTCAGTACACTGCAGGAAGCTGATAATGAGCAGAAACCAAAAACTTTGCATTCTGCAGCCAGAAGACACCATTATCGATCCCGGTAAGAATTTTCTTTGTATTCCTTAATGAATCCAGTTACAAAAGCCCAGCATCATTGAAACCAGTGGTCTGCATTATTCATCTTCATACCTGGAGAAGCAAAGGATGTGGAAGAAAAGAAGAAGAAAAAAAATCCATCAATAGCTGAACACCAATAATTTTGAATACCAAATTTTACTTGACGTGAAGACAGAAATGTTTAATAAAAACAGACAGTACACCTGTACTGTAGCTGGGATTTTGGCAGGTTTGTGGGATGAATCTCTCAAGGTCAGTGATCATTAAACAGAATGCCAAATAATAACACATGTTACAAGTTGAAAGTACGAATGTTATTGATGTACTTGCGCTAAGACGCATAAAAAAGAGCACATTTTTTCTGGATATAAGAAACTGGATTTGCAGATGACTCGGCTAAGCTCTTGCCACCCCCCAAATTTCACACAATCTGCATTTCTCTACCTCAAAGAACAACAAAATTAAATCTGCTCGGGGTGGCTGAGAACAGCGGAGCACCACCACTCAGGAGCAAGGCTCTGCCGCTCTCCCTGTCGTGGCTCTGGCGGTCCCTCAGCGCTACACATCAGTGGGTCTCCTTGGGGCAGAAGCCCTGACAGCAACTTTGCCCACAAAATACTCCATTGGTGAGGAAGCCTATTCACATGACTCTATGGTTCGCTGTATTTCTACCCAATAAACACCTCCAGAGAAAAGGGAATGAACATAATGGATGAGACTCTCCTGTCCTTCGCCTCTGACGAGATTTGTCTTCGACTGACAAACATGAACCTCACTGCTCCTGTAAACGATGTACCAAAGGAAGAATTCTTAAAGCTATCATTTGCCTTTGAAAAATATAATTACGGTGATAGAGTGCAGTTGCTGTGATAGAAGACTTGACAGCAGAGTGCTGCCTTTTGCTAATGACTTCATTCTCTCACCAGCCAACTGAGTAACTACACACATCCTCTTCCATATCTCACTGTACAAAGCTACATCGTGCTTCAGCCCCGACTATTGAGTTTCGGAAGCTAGAGAAAAATGAACATCCATATAAAACCAAATTATTTTTAACTACAAAGCTGGCTCTATTTATTACAGATACGTGAAACAACTCCGGAAGAACGACTCTCTGAGCGCCGCAGCAATGCCAGATGCAAAGAGCTGAATCTGGTGCCACATTGGCTTGGTCTCTCCGAGACCAATGGACAGGACTGCGTGGATGCATCCCTGAGAGATCTGGAACTAATGGTGCTTTAAGAACACATAACAATGCCTATGTAAAAATTAAATGGCAGGACACAAGGGCCACTTACAAGTCTTAGGACTGCTGGAGCATGTCGAGGGCTTGAAAAATGCATTTTCCATTTTGGCAAGGAGAACTGGAAAGGACTGGAGAGCACACAATGCCAGACAAAGAAATTCTATGAACTGCAGATCATTTTCAGAAGTAGAAAGTGTAACTCCTTTTGCATTAGTCAGTGATAATATTAATCAATGCAAAGTTTGTTCCCTGAGCACACAGACAGCAACAAGAGTGACACTTGGATTTTCCCCAAGGAAAGAAAGACAGGAATTAACAGAAAACATTATGGAACAATTTCTCTGGCTCTCAGCAGAGGCAGTGAGACTGTGGCAGAATAGGAGATTATTAAATAGCCAAGTAGGCTTCTTGGCTCCTCTTTAAGAGGAACGATGCCACTTCAGTGTAGGGATCCCTCTCGCTCAACACAAGCTTGTCATTTCTCACACAGGGAAATGAAAGAGAACTGACATCTGAGGCCAACTGATTTTATGTTTATTTATACATAAAAACAAACTCTTTTTTCCAATTTCCAACTACAGACAGGTGCTCTTCAACCACAAGCGCTTTTATCCGCAGATATTTCAACAAAGAGCATGCAATAGCAAGCAGGAGTGCTTCAGTGCAGGGGAGCCCGAGCGTGGCTCTCCCTGGCACAGACCCATGTGCCTAGAGGTAAAAGATGTGCCCTCAATTTAGATGGTGATACACCAGCTGCTACCGGACAACCCACGAGCGCTTATGAAGAGACAGTCATATTGCAGCTCTGGATCTTTCACATTGGGCTGTGAGTGTTTTGCAATCAAAAAAAAAATATAAATCTAACAATCCACAAAGGATGCACTGCGTTCAGCAGAAATTACAATTGCAAAGGAGCTCCTGCTGAGAAAAGACGACAAAATTGCCACCATTCTATATATATATATAT